ACATATACACAAGATATGTGCAGAAACATATATAAGAAACTAGAAACATCACCCCTGACATAGAGAAATTGGGTGTCTGGGGAGAGGGAGAGGTCAAATGTAGAAGGAAATGTTTTGACAACTCTTTTGTATAATTTATTTGTTTTGCCACATCATGTTTTTTTAATACAAAAAAAAGGAAACACTGTAAACTTTAAAAATGCTATAAAAATGTTCATAAGAATTCCCTGATATTCCTAATTCTTATATAGAAACATATGAAATAAAAATAAAGCCAATTACTAAATCATAAACCAAATGAAAATAATTTAATAATAGCACACAAGAAACGTCATTTCTACCTAATTATCCAGATAGAAAAGAAAAAAAAGATTGAAAGAAACATAAATGGGGAGGAGAAAATAGAATAAAAGAGAGTGAAATGCCTTAAAGGAAGGGAGAGAAGGGAAAGGAATTTTTTCCTAAGACTTGAAAGATGTCCTTCCCTTGAAACTATGAGGGCTCCAGATTTCCAAGATACGTCTGTTACTTTGAAAATATACGGCCAATCTTTTGAGATTTAAATGATAGAAATTCATGAATAATGGTGACATCAATTGTCACCAGGAAATGGTGAATGGGTAAAGTAGATAATGGGAGAAACCATCAGAAGGAGGTAATGGAAATCCGAAAAGGTGTAAGAACTGAAACAAATCAGTTTATCACAGATGATAAATCACAGAACAATTTTGCTTTCTTTGGTCAGTTTCTTTTTGTCAAATAGTTGATTTTGTACCACAAGAATCTTCTAAGCTCTCCTTTGGGGAAATTGTTAGTAGTTTGTATCTAAGCCAGTCCCCACAGAAATGGCATTGAGCAGAGTAAGTGGAGACAGGAACCTTTTTAGAATCATCATCTGTGTGTGAATAAAAGCAGCCATAGCTGTAGCCTTGGGAGCTGGGTAGGTTTTAGAGACGCTGTACCGGGAATCTTGGAGTTAAATGTCCCACAGCTGGCAAGCCACAACACGTGTATTTTCTGTTTAAGAAGAAATTGAGCTTTATGAAAGTGAAATGAAAGAGAAAAAAAGGCACAAGTATTGAGATCCAATCAGTCTTTCAGAGAACTGCCTCTTACCTTCTCCATACATCCTTATTAAATACATTCAATTTTAGAAAAGTCTTAAATAGGCATGTGTTTCATTATTTGTTTCCTACTGGAATAATGTAAGCCTGGCAATGCTCTATATCTATTACTTGAAATTTACAGCTCTTCTCCCGTTTTAAGTAAACATCAGGTACTTAGCTAATTAAATGTGATACTTTTAGGATTTTGTTTATAGGAAAGTGTCAACTTTCAGGATGTTGTGTGTAAGTCTCGATAAAATTACGTAGAAAATGACAGTGTACTCTTGTTTCATAGGCTGACCTTGCGGTCACCGCTGCCTGAAATTGGCTCAAAACAAAAAATGATCTAAGGGTTGAAAGAAGATAAGATCAAATTGATGTCATGGTAATTACACAAAGTACCATTCAATCGTTGGATGGAATTTACTGTTGATCCCTAGGCTTAGATGCAGGTGGGAATGTGCAGTATTTTATTACTTTGCTGGTATAAAAGCAGATGAGGACTTTATTAACTGTAGTCACTGAGAAATCGCAAGACGAAGCTAAAATCTCCCTTCTGATCCACAGTCAACTGACCTGAACACATCCTGCAAAAAGTCCAGAGGAAGGTAATAGAAAATAAAAGAAATTTGGGGATTTTAATTAAGTGAGGGGTAAAATATTTGAGAATATAGGGGAGCTGTGCATAAACCTTAGTAAGAAGAGGGACAGGCATTTACACATTCTCTTTTCAGCACTCATCATTGCACTGGAAGGAAGTCTGTAAAATTGTGGTCTGTGATCACAGGCTAAGATGTTATCTAACAGAAGCCAGAAACCAAATGTCTCCTGCTGAGATGTGTGAGTGCCTGTCATTATCCTGATTTTCCTTAAGAAATATTGAATGTCATTTGAAAGGCATTCTTTTGAGTGACTTTCAGGGGTCAGGGAGAGGGTGAGTAGATATTATGTAAGATGCTGATATTGTTTTATCATCAGTTTTTAAATGATGCATCACTAACTGTATCTTCAAGTTGCCCACTGATAAAGCAGCTTACCTGTTCAGCTAATGACCATAGCTCCTGACATCTTTTCAACAGTTGTTTTTGTGTAAACTTGAACAGTAACACTGACATCTCTTAAACATTGTTTCCATTGTCTTCTTTCATAAAATGCTACAAAAATAAGAATCATTAGTATTTTTCCAACTATTACTGATGACTTTCCCATTCTAAATGACTTGCGCAAGTCTAACTGGTTTGTTCCAATGAGAGTTTCAGGAAACTTTGCTAAATATAATTAGTTATATTTGCATCACTGCTAGTTGAAATGGAAGCTGGTTGAAAAATTCAAACTGAATAAGAAAAGTGCTCTTTTGTCTTTCTTCATTAGTGTTGAGAAACAGGATTTAATTATGGGCTGATATAATGTGGGTCCTTTGGAATACAGAAGCTCTATTTCATCTTCATGAGAACTTTTGTTTTCTAAGCTCCATAGTCCTCTTCCTGCTCAAAAGTAAGGTATTTTACATTAGAACGGAGGACTTTTTTTAAAGTTTCTGTAGATATCTTTTAAATATTTTCTTGACAACACCAATTCAATTATTCAAAATATGTGTCACCCAAATTGCATTATAATACTTTACTATAGTCTTGACTTATTAAAAAAAAATAAGAACAATCACCATTTATGAAAAGTTTATGTGTTTTCAACTTTAACTTTGGTTTTGATTTAATTTTTTTCAGTAATATAGACTTGTTAAAATTTTGAGTCATATTTCTTACCATTTCCTGCT